GCATGTGAATATTGCATGGCATTGTGATTGTGGAACGGAGCGGAGGTCGTATGGAAGTATCGCCATTTGGTGTCGTCAGTTGGATGCAAAGTGGAATTGGCGTGTGTTGGCCATGGTCAGCACAGCAGTGTGCTTGATGAGGAGGCCATGGAATGGAGGTGTTGCTGTTGCTCTCTTCGTGTAGACGAGAAAGTGACGACGTTTGTGGTGCCGAGGGAGGAAGCAGGCAAATCACATCTGTTGGTGGTGTACAGAGAAGAGGAGAGGCAGATGAAATGGATAGAGTAGCAGAAGGAGGAGGAGGTGTTGTGCACTCCGATTGGGGTACTTCATAGGGGTGTGTGAGGGTGTGCATTTGTCGTCACCTGTGGTAAACACCTTGATGCTACTAAGTAGGATTGGTGTGCAATGATGAGACGACCACTTCAGGGAATGTGCTTGGCATTGTAGACATGAGCTGTGAGCGCAACCACTGCCCCCATGAAACATTTATTCGGTGGGGCCAAGTAAGGCAAATAAGAGGCGGCATTGGCGGCAGACAAAGGGACACCCGCACCTGTATATCCGCATGTGATAGTGGAGGATCTATAGGCATCAAAAGTCAAATTTCAAAAGGCAAAATGCCAACTGCGAACATACATGGGCAGGTCGGTAAAGCCACTTCTGCACACACCAGATCCGCTGTCTGTCACAACAGCTGCGGTGACCTCGTCCGTCATCAAGAGGCAAGAGACATTAAAATTGCAATGCCTTGAACACGGTTTAGGCGTGACCATATGCTTAGCAGTAAGCAATTGCTTTGCAGTTGCTGTCATTGACTAGGTGTTGCCTTTAACGCCTCACGAGTGAGGGCAAGGACAAATTAACAAACAAATAAATCGCAGCTGGCATGATAATATGGAGGCACATCATGAGGAGGAAGCCAAGCAGTTCACAACTGGTGGAGAGTGTTGTGTATTCACTTTGCACTTGTGTGCATCACGCTGCGTGGCAGAGGATGTGGATAAGAGAAAGCTCGATTTAAAGGTCTCCGTTAGGAGCTAGACTCTTCATACAGCTTCACAGACGGCATCCATCCAATGCATTTGTTGGTGAAATCAGCTAACACATGCACTTTCACCTGCACTCTCATATGAAGGTAATTTACCATGCATACCTCCACTGGCAATTCGCCTACCCTGTAGATCTCTCACCTACACATTTCTTCCGATTCGTGTGAGAGCAGAGGCATGGCTGTGGAGCACGCTTCCTGGACTGGGTAGTGGGTGTGCAATCAGTACCCACATAAAGCGATCATTCAGGGCAGTTACTAAGCAAAAACAAATGGATTACAGCACATGTATGTTCGCATGGGATAGTAGTGGTTGCGAGTGCCTGGTTAGGTGGACGTTGTCACCCTCAGCACACTGGTGGCTGCTAACATATCTAAGCTGATCTAAATGCACTTTTCTGACTTTGCCTTGCACACGTCGCCATCCTCATCCTCCTTCTCTTCCAACGCCTCTACCTCATTCACCTTATCCTTCGCATCCTCCTCCACTCCTATATCCACCACCCACCACCCATTATTCACGTCCCCATTGCTGCTGCCGTTATAATTGTAACTCTCAGCACTGAGCACGCAGCCGTATTCACAGCAACAAGTACGCGTTGTGTACATGCGTTGATACCCACGAAAGTAGCAGAACCACCGGACAGCACTGTATACATGTAGGGTTAATTTAAATGCCAACGTCAGTTTTCATGTTAAAGTGATTGGTCGACTCGTGCATATGAGTAGCTTTGGAGACCAGACAATCAGGTCGGTAAGGGAGGGCGTGAGGACAGCGGAAGCACTTCTTCGCAGTAGTAGTGAGCCTTCGACTCCCTAACTGTTTGCGAATACGGTCTAACATGGCACTAAGTGTTGGGGGCACCATTTCTTCCTCACAATCCACACCTATGCATCTAATATTCTGCCACGTACGGCAAGCTACTTCATGTTCTGCTGTAGTGGTAACCGCACACTGTAATCACACTCAGCCATGGTCTTCACATGGTGCTTCCTTCAATCTCAGCACGCTGGGTCGAGGCGTGAAACAGCAAGAGGAGGTGCATCAATGATGCAGATGTGGGTGGTGTGTAACAACATGAGTGCGTGAGTGTGAATTGTGTTAGTGATCACAGCCACTTCCTCGTCCCCGAGTGCGTGAATGTGTTTTGTGCTAGTGATCACTGTCACTGCCTCGTCCTCGAGTGCGTGAATGTGTTTTGTGTTAGTGACCACTTCTTTACCCTTTTTCTTGCATTAATGTGTTATATTTTACTGTTTTTTCCTTTTTTGCCATTTTTTGCTTTTCTTTTTTGGGTTTCCCTTTTTTGCCTTTTTTCTTTTGCCGCCCCTGTTTTCCTGATTTCTACTTTTCCTTTTCTTACCTAATCTCTTTCTACCTTTTACGCTTGTTTCCTTTTTGCTTTATTTTTTTCTCCTTTTTTTCATTTTCCTCGTTTTGTTTTAATATATTTTTTTGGAGGAGGCCATTTGATTTTTCTCTGCGCATTTAGTGGTTTGGGATGGAGACGTTCCATTTTGTTCTTGCGCTTATTGATTTATTTTTGCACTTAATCGCGCTTTTCATTTTTCAACCATTCTTCTAACTATTCCTTTCTCTCGCCTTCTCTTTCTATTTTCCTTTCCTTTATTTACATTTTTATGGCTTTTTCTCTTTTCCGTCCTTGTATTCTGTTTTCTTATGCTCTTTTTTTACATTTCTTTTGCTCCATTTTTTTTCCTTTTTCACCCTTTAAACTTATTGTTCCCTTTTGATTTTCTAATCTCCTCTCTGTTTTATGTCATTTCCTTGTTTTTGTTGACTTAAATATCTTCTTTGCGGTTTTTTTCCTTTTCATACTTTTCCGCAACTCGCTTTTTTTGTTTCTGCACCATTTAATGTCGTTATTACCCACTTAGTAATCCTTGCACTGTGCGGTTTATTTTTCTATTTTGGCGCTAAAGTGTTAAGATCTGTTACAAGATTTGTCGTAACTTCAAAACATTTATCTGGAAGCCGTTGTATGTGTAGATGTTTTAGTATCTCTAGAATAAAATGGGTACTTAAATAGGTAGAGTAACAGCGGTCCGGCTCACTGAAACTTAATTCGTAGGCTGTCATTTCAGACGTGGCGCGTTACCACGTCTGCATGCTTTAACACGCCCACAGCCTACAGATACTCACGACAAGACAGGTAGGTAGATATGGGCGTGCGTTTGTGTGATTAATCACAAATACGCGAAGATGATGGCAAACAGCGTCGGCGCCGCTAACCCTGGAACAGATGAGGGAATTATTCCAGTGGTTGTAGACAGCGGCTCGCGTAGCTGTAGAGTTGGATTCGCCGGTGATGATAGTCCCAGGGTCATCCAGGCTGTCACCAAAGTGTGTGGGAAGATTGACATGGTGCCTATTCAACGTGGACACGTTGTGGACTGGGAGCGCCTAGAGCTTCTCTGGTGGGAAGCTCTAACACACAAAGATGTAAGATATGTTGATAGTCCACTTCTGTTTACAGAGGCGCCTATGGCTCCCAAATTTGACCGTGAGAGAACGACACAAATCGCGTTTGAAAGTTTTAACGCCCCCGCGGCTTATCTATCCAATCAGGCTGCATTGGCACTCTATGCCGCTGGCAAGACCACCGGACTCGTTTTAGACATTGGACATGGAGTCACACACACTATTCCAGTTGTGGAAGGGAATAACATCTATCCTGGGGTATTTAGCATAGACGTTGCAGGTGAAGATTTGACAGAATACCTTCAAAAGCTGACTGGACGAAGGGATTATTGTGAATTGTTGAAGGAGAAGTTGTGTGAGGTATCCCTAACTCCGGAGAAGATGGAGTATTCCCCAATCATGAAGTACACTCTTCCTGACGGTGAAGAAATTGCAATGGGAGGTGAAAGATTCCAATGTCCAGAGGTACTATTCAAACCCAGCCTGTTGGAGAAAGAAGCAGGATGTCTGGCAGTGCAAGAAGCAGTCTATCATTCAGTCCAACGCTGTGATCGCGATACGCGAAGAGAGATGTACGCCAACATCGTGTTGGCAGGTGGATCAAGCATGTTTCGTAACTTAAAGACCCGGTTGACTCGAGAGATCAGCACGATCGCACAGTCGTCCTTTAAAGTCAATGTGAGTGCACCTCCTGAGGGTGGAAAATATTCTTCCTGGCTTGGAGGATCTATTCTCGCCTCGTTGTCCACATTTCAGAAGATGTGGATTACGAAACAGGAGTATAATGAATGGGGACCCAGCATTGTTCATCGAAAGTGCAATTAGTAAAGTTTTACTGCTGTCACGTTGCCTGACCATGACAAGTTTTGACAAGAATTCAAGAAGAGACATAAACACCTACTTGCTGTAAAATTAAAAACAAAATAAGAGATGGTGATTAAAACTGGTTGTTACTTGAAAAGAATAAAGCGGTGCATGAGCAATTATGAGTTTTTCTTTAATTTCTTACTACAAAACACTCAGACTCGGGACTTATATGCTTGTTCACGTGGTGTCGGGATAAAAAGTTTTTCATTAAAAAATAAGTTAATACTCCCTCCTTGGCCACATCTGCACACCTTGCCATCCAAGCTATCATCTAATAGTTAAAATATTTGATATTAAAAGGATTTGTTAATTTTGAATGAACCACTACCAGCCTGCTTGCGGCCCAGCCTGTGCCCTGTTCCCTACATTGGATGTAGCCTGTACAGTTGCTAACGAAGAGCTGTAAGAGACATG